TATTTTATTTATGAACCCTTGAATTATATATATTGGCAAATTATACCCTATATTTTTATTATTTATAAATATACCCCGTACCCGTATCCTATAATTTTTGAAATCGCCGTACTCGTATTCGTGTATCCGCGTATCGGCGTATCCGTATCCGTGCAACATAGATCCTTACTCTAGATGGTTACCCCTGTAGCACCAGATCTGATTTTTTGAACCTATCCCAATTTTTGGATGATTTTTTACGGATGACATGGCCTTTTTTTATGACATCTCACAGTTATGTTTGCCAAGTCAGCAATGTTAACATTACAATGTAACAGATGTACTGCTTTAACACCAAACAACCGAGTACAAGTACCTTTACATTTGAGTTGCAAATTGATGTACTCTTTACTCCATAGTCTTCAACTTAGTGTACTTAATTGACCATTTTCTCTATAAATATATTTACTTTCCTACTCTTCTTTTCTATCCACGTATGACTATAGGAGATCTATCTCAATTAATGTTTTTTTTGTTTCTTTCTTCTACGTATTATTGAAGTCTTATATATTTCTTGTAATTTTAGTACTGGTTCATATTGTATATTTTGATCAACTGAATTCCTTTGAGGACTATTATAATATTTACATATTACATTTTTTTTTCATTTTCATATTCTTTCTGCGTAAATAAACTGCCCACTTTTAACAACCTTTATTATGCACTTTATTTCCATATTTTGTTCATTTTTATTATTCTAATTGTGTAGCTCTGATATATATTTTCTGCATTAAGACATTAGTTCACGATTGTATGATGCAAAATGCACATAGAACTTTTATACCTTGAATCTAACATAAAAGTGCATATATTAAAATTTTAAGTGCATCGTCATAAAAGAAAGGTGCAAGTAAATTGTATTATAAGAACTCGTTCAATGTTTACTCGAAAAGTGCACAACGGGTCACAAGTGCAAATTAAAACAAATAAAAGTGCATGTTTGAAATTTAATTGATTTAATTGTGGTAAAAGTGCACAAGCGGGTAAAAAGTGCATGAAAAAGTAAATAAAAGTGCATGTAGTTAATCGTTTTCAAATGTGCAGATAATTATGTTAAAACCAGGGACAGATCCAAGGGGGGGGCGGGGGACGACCGCCCCCCTTGGACTTCCATTTTTTCTACTATATATGTAATATTTTCATAAGATTTTCATACTTTAATTAGATATATATGTTTTCGCCCCCCTTAACTTTTAGTTTTCAAAATTAATATATAAGCTCACATAATGTAATAGTTAATTGGTGATTTAAAAGAAGTAGAATCTAAAATAATTTACATAACTTAAACAAATAAACAATAGAACTCATTGTTTAAGACTTAGGATACCTAAAAATTCTTAGTTTTGTAATGTTTAATTATCTTTATTAGATAATTAGTACTCGATTTTGTAAGATATCAAACGATATTGTATTTGAGATACAGTAGTTAAATAGTATAAATGTTTGTTGATATTAGATTACACTCTTCGTTTACCTCTTACTTTCTAAAAATAATTTGTTGAGTAGATAATACTTTAACTTATTTTAGCATTAATACAAATATGATATGCACCATATATAACAAATTATTAACATTATTACGTATTATAGTATTCTAAGTATAATAATCCCATGCATACTATTGTAATATTAAGAAAGCTCATCGTGACCCACAAATACCCTCCTTGGTAGACAGAAATCTCAATTAAAAAACCAATTATTTATTTTGTTAAGGTTCATGTGGTTAAACAAGACATAAGTTATTTTAAAAACATTGGTTAATGTGTACCTTTAATTTTAACCTCATTACCTTCAAATAATATCATAAAATGTTATATATCCTTTCTTATTTTCAAATAATTTTCCTTTGATTTGTCATTTGTTAAGCTTTAATGTATCAATACGTTTTTCTAGAGCACTTATAGTTATTAAATCAAAGTTATCTTTTCATTGTCTAAAATTAGAATTGGAATATAATAATAGATATAAATGTCAATATCTATTTAGTATGTACTAATGGAACTCTTTGAATAAAAATTAGCCGCAGAGCCCTACACTAGCGAAAAAAATTCGCTCCGCTATACTAACGATTTTTTTCCTATCCCGCTTAACAACAAATGTTTTTTCACTGCCTACACTAATGAAAAAAATCCGCTCCCCTTGACTCGAAATCCTGGATCCGTCCCTGCGAGTTAAAACGTGCACATACTTCAATAGCTCTAACAAATGCATTAAGAACTTAATTTGGTGCATAAACGTTTTGTCAATAGTGCATAATTAGTATTTCGATTAACAATCTTTCAATTTCAATAAATTGCACTTTTAACTTATAATCTTTGCACATAACTATATTTGTAGTCATGGCTAAAATTCTACAACAATTGTTGCATTAAAATAACAATTTCATGCATTACAATTTGGCACACTTTTTTATAAACACATATAAAAGTCACATACCCACCTTTGCTACATTAGTTTTGCACTCTATAAAAAGGCATTAGTATAAATACTCCCTAATAGATTAATGCTCCTAAGTTGCAATGATTTTTACACGTACTTCAATAGCTCTAACAAATGCATTAAGAACATAATTTGGTGCATAAACGTTTTGTCAATAGTGCATAATTAGTATTTCGATTAACAATCTTTCAATTTCAATAAATTGCACTTTTAACTTATAATCTTTGCACATAACTATATTTGTAGTCATGGCTAAAATTCTACAACAATTGTTGCATTAAAATAACAATTTCATGCATTACAATTTGGCACACTTTTTTATAAACACATATAAAAATAGTCACATACCCACCTTTGCTACATTAGTTTTGCACTCTATAAAAAGGCATTAGTATAAATACTCCGTAATAGATTAATGCTCCTAAGTTGCAATGATTTTTACACGTACTTTTTAAATTAATTGGAGATGTAATTAATGCTTGCCTTTTTTAACTTTAGTCGATCGTGGCAAAATAATAGGAAATTTTGGTTTTATTTTAAAAGCTTGTTCACGAATGAATAATTAATAGCATGTTCAATTTACAAAAAAGTCCCTAACACTAAATGCCGAATGAATAATACATCTCACCATTTAATGCTTTCCTTCTAAACTCTCTATTAGTAAGGTCTACGTGGACTTTCTGTGGCCATCCGATTAAGAGAATGAAAGGCTAGATTTCATTCTCATTTCTCTCCTGAAAGTATTTTCTCACCGGAACCGCTCCCTATATATATATATATAGAGAGAGAGAGCTATTCCTGTTCGGAATTTCCGGACAGGAGCCCCATCCGGCCTCCTCCATTTGGGGGCCTTCCCGGTGGTATTTTTTGCTCAAATTTTTTGTGTATGTTCCTCATCAAGTCTAGTTCATACATACCAAATTTGAGCAAAAAATTCAATCGGGAAGGTCGTCAAATGATTTTTGCAAGTTAACTGGTCCGGAAAATACATATTCCGGACCAGTTAACTTGTGATTTTTACAAGTGCTTAACACTCGATTATAAATTGGTGGAGTACCCGAGGATTATGTTATCCTCAAAACTCATAGGTCATGATATTGAAATATGGACAAGGAAGAGTCCTATACACTCATAGGTATGTGAGTGGGTTGAGGTTTTTAGTCAAGAATATTGACTATTACTATTTTCCCAAATAAAATAGTGATCTACGGATCAGATATTTTCCAAGTGTATATATACTAATAAGTACTTCTTAACTTGGGGGAAAAAGCTATTTATATAAGTATCACCCTATGTTTGGGTCTTATACTTGAAACGCTAGTTATTCTATATTTAGCCTGTTATTCGCTCGGTACTTGTACTGACCCCTTCGAGGCCTCCCACCATTTTCAGGTTGAAGCTAGGGCTTGCTACTTGCACCTTCTTACGGGTGATATCAACTCAGGAAGACGTGGTTCGTGCTTCCTTATTTTCTTTCAAACTACCGAACACTTGCTCATGGATATTTGATTTGCTATAAAACTATTTTGGGGCTTGCATGCGGGTGACGTCACTTGATTATACGGCGATTGTACACGCGCTTAGATTGCGGTCTGGGGCGTGACTAAACTTATCCTTATATAAACTTATCAGTCCAAAATCAGACCATACCAAATCATATTTGGATAGTTATAAAATACCCAAAGACCTAGCGTTTATCAGACCAGACCAGTTCAGACTTGAGTAGTTATAAAATACACAGAGACCAGATGTTACCAGACCAGTTTAGATCAGACCACATCAGATCACACCAGACCAAACCAGAAAATTTCAGTACAATTAAAAACATCTTGATCATTGTCTTTTTTATTTAAGTAAAAATGATTGAAAAAACTAATTTCATTTAGGATGTTTTAAGATGTTTTCTTTTGGACTATTTTCCGTCCTAGACCAGATCGTATTAGACCAGACTTAAATAGACCAGGGATGTTTTTACTTGGACCGTAATATGTCCCAGACCAGACAAGATCAGACAAAACCAGACTTGAATAGTTATAAAAATACAAAGAAATCATATCAGACCAGACCAGACCAGATCAGACCAGTCCAGACCAGCAAATTACAGTCCAAGTAAAAACATCCCAGATCAGACTTTCATAGTTATAAAATACACAAAGGCAATACATTTATCATACCAGATTTAAACAGATCAGATCAGACCAAACTAAACCAGCAAATTTCAGTCTAAAAGAAAACATCCTTAAATACATTTGAGAGTTGTAAAAATAGCTCTTTTAATAGGAAAATATAAAAACAATATTTTATTAATCAATGTTATAATTGATTAAATAAATGATTTTCCATTAATCCATTTTTTTAACCGCATTAATCGATTTATAATAACTCAATTATATGGATGCACACACATATATTTATACAACTAAAAAACAAAATCATTTTATTTTGTGGGAAAGATAGTAAATTTGTTAATTTGAGGATATCTTTTTGTTGGCATACCGTAGCCCACACTCAAACTTGTCCATCGTAAAGTAAGCATATTTTCCCGTTTGGAGTGGACATAGCCTCGCTGTGTGTGACTATGGTGTGGTCAAGTATCTCTTTCGTGCTTTATTTGAAACACTGCAGAGCTGCTCAAACTCACACCCTTTGGACACGCAATTCATGTCGTAAAATCATGGATCCACCCAGAAGATGTTTCTTTTGCCTTATCCCGAGCAAGACAGCAAGCAAATGTGACTGTGTGAGAGAGATTCAGACACAATTTCCAGCCCCTTTCACCCTCTGGCCTCTGTCCGTTCCCTGTTCCTGTCCCTTTCTCCCAACGGTTACTGACCTTTCACCTTTAATTAAATAAATGGCCCGTTAACAGCTTAGCTAGGAGTGAGTGCCCCCTTCCCCGCCCACCCACTATCGCCTTCCCAACTTCAAGAAGAAGAACCCAAGCAAAACCCAGGTTCACCAAGCTGAAACTCACGGAAACGCAGGAAAAAGTTGTGATTTTTTTGGCCAGGAATTGTTGGGTTTCTTGTAGATCCAGACCCGACCCAGGATGGATTTCAGCTCTTTCTTGACGTCCCTGGGGACGTCGTTCGTGATATTCGTGGTGCTCATGCTCCTCTTCACTTGGCTGTCGAGGAAGCCCGGGAACGCCGTGGTTTACTACCCCAACCGGATTCTCAAAGGGTTGGATCCGGTCGAAAACGGGTATGCCACCCGGAACCCGTTTGCGTGGATCCGTGAGGCCTTCTCTTCCACCGAAGCCGATATCATCAGAATGTCAGGCGTTGATACGGCTGTCTACTTTGTCTTCCTCACCACTGGTAACAGACTTAATTGATTATTCCATATTTTTTCTCTATATATGGATGTTTTTCTCATCACACTGCGGGCCCACTGGTTTCATCATACGTTTGGAATCTAGAAATTCCAAGGAGAAGAAGCTAGGAATGATAAATGTATAGAGGAGTTTGAAATGAAAGAAAATGAACTGGATAGTAGGCCGTTTGTTCAACGTTCAAACTCAATTTTTTTTTGATATTGTAATTATTTACTCCTATTATACAAAGAATTAGAAATCTAACGTAGGAAGTTATTTATGCATGGGAAGCAGATTGATAGAACATCTGTCAAGCTACTCCAAAACTTGTATCGCTGAATGCATTTATTTCAAGATACTTCAAGATATTTAGAAACTTTTTCAGCTTCTCTTTTTAAAACTTCTACTATGAGCCCGTTTGGTAATGGTTATTTGGCTAAAATCCACTCCAGCCAAATTAGTAACTAGGCTACCAAATGTGCTCGGATTCTGTTTACTCTGCTCACTCCGTAAGCAGAGTGAGCAAAATGTGCCTTTTTTTACCACCACACAAAGGAAGAACAGTGCTTCACAGTACACAGTAAACCATATAATTCCCCTGGAGGTTCATTTTTCTTTGTTTTGTTTTATGTTGGACTTCAAAACCACGCAGTTAGGCTTGTTGAGTTCTACTATTAATAGAAAGACATGGTCTTCTTGGGCTCCTTTTATGTTGAGTGGTGACATAGAAACAAATTTAGGGAGAATGGAGTACCCCTACCCTGGTGGCACGTTTTAAATCCTTTTGCTTCATTTCTACTGCAGCCTTGGGCATTTTGGTCATTTCGGGCCTTATACTTCTGCCAACACTCCTGCCAGTTGCTTCAAGTGATCATAGTGTGAGGTTAGACAATACCACCAGCGAAGGGACTTTCAATGATCTTGATAAGCTATCTATGGGGCATGTTGGAGTAAGCTCCCTATTAGGCGGTTCCTTGCAATGCATCTCAATTTTTTTATTGCATTTCCTTGATTTTGAATGTTGAGTTCATCAACTGATTAGTTTGAAGCTAAGCGAGGGGCGTTTGGTTGAGGTAATATGGCATTACCTTAGTAATGTGAGGTAGGTGATGTGAGAATGCCCTGTTTGGTTCATGTTTCAGATTACTCGAGTAATTCAAATTACCATCACGTAGGAAGCTGAGGTAGTGTTTTATTAGCTCTGGAACATGTTTATATTCCATTCACACAATTGCAACCAAACACATCTTGTAAACTTGCATTCCCCAAACCTCACATCATCTCTTCTTAAGTTGCCTATTACATAAGCTAATCTTACATCCGTGAACCAAACGCTGCTAAAAAAGTAATGTTGTAGAGGATGCATTAGTAACTACATCAGATGGACACCTGAATGAAAATTTTATTATATCTTCGACTCCACACTAACCATTCTCATTGATATAAGTAAGGGTAAATGGATAATTTCATTGGAAGCTACGTGAGATAACATGTAATGGCTCTCTAGCATAATTTTTGTCGCTTTTCAACTCTATTCTGCTTAGACATTTATGTTTGCCTTGTCATTCTCCTTCTGCTCAAATCATCAATACCATTGATTGAATAAGTTAGTTTCCGTTAGTAGTGCCTGGTTGCCTGCATCTCTTTCTTCCTATATTGACTTATCTAGATTTCTTCCTATCATCTTCACAGAAAAACAGTCCACGATTATGGGCATTTATTATTGCCACATATTGGGTTTCTTTTGTGACATACTTCCTTCTTTGGAAAGCATACAAGCATGTTGCTGATTTAAGAGTTGAAGCTCAAATGTCTCCTGAAGTCAGAGCCGAACAATTTGCTATTCTTGTCAGAGACATTCCTCCTGTTCCTCAGGGTCAATCCCGGAAGGAACAAGTTGACTCCTATTTCAGTATGATCTACCCAGACACATTTTACAGATCCATTCTGGTCACAGACAACAACAAGGTTACTCCTATTTCCCAAGTTATCTTGTTTTTTGGTCTCCACTATAATAACTGCTCGCAAATGAATGTCATTCTCTTACTGCAATTTCTAATGATAATGAACTGCATGCTGCAAAAAATTAGTGTCGGTTTGATCCCTGGACTATACACTATTGCTCAATTTGGTCATCACCTTTATTTAGGATTCACCTTGGTCGTTGCCTATGCAACACAGATTCAATTTAGGCCTCGTGCATATTTTGCTGGAGGGTATCTCCGTAAGGTAATGACTAAATTGGGTTGAGATTACGTAAATAGAGACTCTTGGTCTCTGAAATTAGGTCCTAATTTAGTTAACCTGAAAAAACTACCTTATTATTTAAAGCCTGAGTAAGCACTAAGCGACTACCTTCTTATTTTATATGTTAGGACCAAATTAAATCCAATGAAAAACTGTTGACCAAGTTGAGTAAAAGTGTATATAGTCAAGGACTAAATCGAGAGTTGAACTTTTCTTTCCAATTATGGTGGAAGCGTTTTTTCATCTTCATTTTCTCTAGTAGCCTTACCTTTCTTGATTTTTATCAGGCCAATAAAATCTATGAAGAGTTAGTAGGGTACAAAAAGAAGCTTGAACATGCAGAAGCCATACACGCACAGGAAAAGAAAGCAAAACCGGATGGAGCAAGACCCACGAGTAGAACTGGCTTTCTTGGTATTTTGGGTAAAAAGGTAGATTCGATAGATTTCTTTAACGAAAAGATCAAAGACTTGACATCACAACTAGAAGCTGAACAGAAGATCACTCTAAAAGAGAAACAACAATGTTCTGCCATCATCTTTTTCAACAACAGGGTGACTGCCACATCGGCGGCACAAAGCTTGCATTCCCCAATGGTTGACACATGGACAGTGACAGGTGCTCCTGAACCCCGCCAGGTGATTTGGACTAATCTTCACAAGAAGTATTACGAGAGGATAATTCGGCAATACGTTATATATGTCATTGTCTTTTTGACGATATTCTTTTACATGATCCCAATCGGCTTCATCTCGGCACTAACAACACTTGATAATCTGAGGAAGTACCTTCCATTCTTGAAGTTTATCGTTGACCAACCTGCAATCAAGACAGTTCTTGAGGCATACTTGCCTCAACTTGCTCTCATTGCCTTCTTGGCTTTGCTTCCAAAGTTTCTTTTGTTTTTATCGAAGGCCGAGGGGATTCCTTCACAGAGCCACGTCACAAGGGCCGCTTCCGGGAAATATTTTTATTTCAGTGTTCTGAATGTTTTCATCGGTGTCACAGTGGGGTCCACCCTTTTTGATACTCTCAAGTCTATTGAGGATGATCCAAACAAGTTGGTTCCTCTGCTGGCACAAAGTCTTCCGGGCAGTGCAACTTTCTTCCTGACTTATGTGGCTCTCCAGTAATAATGCTCAAACTCTCTTCTTTCTTTTGATGCTCATGAGCTCTTTCCTTTTTTGTTTTAGCATGCTCTCTTCTAAATATTGATTTCCTTAAAAATGGTCTAGTGTAATCCGCCCTCCATCCCATTTTATGAATCTACTCTCTACTTTTGGTTTGACCCATAAATATGTCCACTCTCCTTTGAACCCCACTAATTTTTTCACCTGTTCTAATTTACCCTTTTTTAATTTGGATGCCAATATATTGGTACAGCTTCTATAAAAGTTCACCACTTTGTACTTTTTTAGTGTGTAAAATTGGAAATTTCATCACATGTCATTTGTTTCCTTAATATTTGTGAAAAGAAATTGAGACTTATGAACTGGGATGGAAGTAGTAGTATTCTTTGTGTAGTGAAAATTATACCAGAGCGAACTCTATAAGCATCTATATGTGTAACTGGAAAGCTTAGTAAGTAATAAAATACTCCATCCGCCCCACAAAGATAGTCTGCTATTCCATTTTGGTTTCTACCAAATAAAGTTAGTTTACTTAGGTTATGAATTAGTTAAGCAAAATATAATTAATGGGGTATGAGGACACACACACACACACAATTTAAATCTCATGTTTTGTATAATTTGGATTTGAATTATTCTTGACCACTGCAAGAAGGTTCTAGATGTTTGTCTCATGCACCACTTTAGATGTTTGTCTCATACACACACACAAGTTAAATCTCATGTTTTGTATAATTTGGATTTGAATTATTGTTGACCACTGCAAGAAGGTTCTTGCAAGAAGGTTCTAGATGTTTGTCTCATGCACCACTTTAGAATGTGGGAAAGCATGAATTTGACTCTCTTTTGGTTTGGATCGTAGGTTCTTTGTTGGGTATGGACTTGAGTTGTCTAGAATAGTTCCTCTAGTAATATTCCATCTCAAGAGGAAGTATATGTGCAAAACTGAAGCCGAAATAAAGGAGGCATGGACTCCTGGTGATTTAGGATATGCCACACGGTTTCCTGGTGACATGCTGATTCTCACCATTTGTCTCTGCTATTCGGTTATTGCTCCCATTATTATTCCTTTTGGGGCAGTCTACTTTGGCTTGGGATGGCTCCTTCTTCGTAATCAGGTGAACTTATGGTCTTGATGCTTGTTCAACAAATTATTCCGCTATTAATCCATGTTTGCCTTATCAAAACGTCTCTGAAATGTAAAGAATTGCTTGCTTTCAGCTTATATGCAGTGTTGAACAAAGCACCAATGAGTCGACTGAAGCCGAACTGACCATACCTGAACTGATAAAAACCAAATTGACAAAAACCGACCAAAACATAGAAGTTTCGGTTTACGGTTCAAGTCTTTTTCTTTAAAAACCGAACAATCTAACTAAAACTGATGGAAACATGTTGAAACTGACACAAACTGACCAAAAATAACCAAAACAGACGTTAAGTTACTCGGCTCATTTCTTGATTTGCCTTTCTCAAAATGAACCAACCATACCGGCAACTGATGAACACCTTTTCTTATATGATCATTGAAAATATGATATGCTTCTATAACTTAGGTGCGGATGAAGTAAAATGAACCAGTCATACCTACGATGAGTTGACAAAACTACCCTATGAAAACCCACAAAGCTTATAAAGTAATAAAATACTCCATCCAGCCCACAAAGATAGTCTGCTATTCCATTTTGGTTTCTACGATGAGTTGACAAAACTACCCATCTCAAAATGAACCAACCATACCTACGATGATTGCCGCCGCTCGCCGGTGCCTGGAGTTGGGGAGAAAAATTCACCATTCAAAACTTTATAAATCGCCGGAAATGGAGAAGTGGGAGAAGAAGTCGATCTAAAAAGTAAAAATGGATGAAATTAGATGGGGGAGGAGGGAGATGAAAAGAATGTGGAGGCAGAGGGTTGTTGCGTGAGAAACAGAGAGAGTTCTGACAGAAGGAAAAAAAGTAAATTAGCTTATTTACAAAGAGGGTATAATTGACAAATGAAACGGACCAGTCAACTAATAGTGCTCCTATTTAGGGGAAAAAAACAATAACTCCTATTTTGGAATTTTGTCATTGTTTTAGTCCCATTTAGAGCAATTACTTTTATAACTTTAATGCTGAACAGATTTTGATGGTGTTCATGAATGTTTTTTTAATAGGCACTCAAAGTGTATGTTCCCTCGTTCGAGAGTTATGGACAGATGTGGCCACATATGCACACCCGCATCTTAGCGGCCTTGGTTCTCTATCAGCTGACAATGTTTGGTTATTTTGGAGCGAAGCTGTTTCACTTCACCCCATTTATCATCCCTCTGCCGATATTGTCCTTCATCTTCGCCTTCGTCTGCAGGAAGAGGTTCTACCGGTTTTTCCAATGCACAGCATTGGAAGCAGCTTCCCATGAATTGAAAGAGGTTCCTAACATGGAAACCATCTTCAGGTCTTTCATCCCACCATGTTTGGGTGCAGAAAAGTCAGATGGGGATCATTTCGAAGATGCTTTGTCACATGCTTCAAAAACAGTTTCCAGTGTCTGACTTGCAATGCTCATATATGAATTAAAAAACGAGTAAAGGGTTAGTTTAGTCCTCGAAGTTGCAAAAAAGGCGTCAAATAAGTCCTTATACAGAAGATTCTGTCCGGACGTGCCATTTGAGGTGGCTCCCGGTGGAATTTTGTGATAAATTTTTTTGAGCATTTTATTCATTAAGTCTAGTTTACTCATACCAAATTTCAGCTAAAAATTCAATCGGAAAAACATTCAAATGAATTCTTGAAGATAACGGCGCTTTTAACGGCACAGTTATCTTCAAGAATTCATTTGAATGTCTTCCCGATTGAATTTTTATCTGAAATTTGGTATGAGTAAACTAGACTTAATGAATAAGATGCTCAAAAAAATTCATCAAAAAATTTCACCGGGAGCCACCTCAAATGGCACGTCCGGACAGAATTTTCTATATAAGGACTTATTTGACCCCTTTTTTGCAACTTCGAGGACCAAACTGACCCTTATCCCATTAAAAAACTGTGTTTATTGATTGATGTCGCCGCTTTATTGCACTCGATCTGTTTCATGGTGTTTACGTTCCTATAGTTCATAGCTTTGTTGTAGTGTATGTTGGACTATTCTACAACCGTTGGTCAATGTGATTGTATATAGTCAAAGGTGATTATATATATTGTCAAAGGTTTGATAAAAGAGTGATCCAGTTGTTTTATTGTCAAATAGGCCCTTGAAGTGACTTAAAGTGTTCAATTAGTCGCTTATGTTATGGGTGGACCGGTTCGGGCCTGGGCCCGGACGGGCCTCGGTTCAGAAATGGGAGGCCCGGAACCGGCCCGGGTAATCTCGGGTCCGGGCCGGGCTGGGCCTCGGTTCTATTTTTTTTTTTTTTTTTTTTTGGCTTTTCCTAATTAACCCCCAACCCTCCCCCTCACCCCCAAACCACCCCAAACCACCTCAAATGGCCCAAAATACCAAGCCCAACCCAAAAACTTAAAAATAATTCAAAAAAAAAATTAATTAATTTGGCCCGAACCGGTCGGGCCGGTTCGCCAATCAAAGGGCCCGGGCCCGAACTGCACAGTAACTGGGCCGGGCCGACCCGAACCGCCCCCCGGACCAGTTCAAACAGTAACTGGGCCGGGCCGCCCGGCCCGAGTCCATCCCTACTTATATAGGAGGTTCTGCCCGGCCGTCGCCAATTGGGGCAGTTCTCGGTGGATTTTTTTGATGAATTTTTTTGAACATCTTCTTTATTAAGTCTAGTTTATTCATACCAAATTTCAGTTAAAATTTTAACCGAGAAGGCAGTCAAATGATTTTTTGATAATAATTGCAAAGTTAAACAGCGCAGTACATTTCCAAAAATCATTTGACTGCCTTCCCAGTTGAATTTTTAGCTGAAATTTGATATGGGTAAACTAGACTTAATGAAGAAGATGTTCAAAAAATTCCACCGGGAACCGCCCCAATTAGCGACGGCCGGGAAGAACCTCTTATATAATGGGCTAATTGAACACTTTAAGTCAGTTCAAGGACCTATTTGACCCTTTAGCCTTTTTTATTTGACTTTTTTGGTAGTTACTCTGGAGTATTTTTTGAATGAAAGAGGCTTACATTGATAACACATCATTCAGATAGTAGATAATTCGACAAAACAACTACTGACGACTGTCGTCCCTCGAACGAGACTCATAGTTTATCGCCTCAACAATAAAAAACCCGTTCATCCATTAATAGGCACAAATGAGCCAAAGATGGTTACCACAGTCTTCCATCATCCAAATCCAAACTCACAGTCTTACAATCGAAAGAGATAAACAACAAATAAACACAGACAAATTCGGACCATTAACATAAATAAAAGCAAAAAAATAAATTTCTTCACTCAGCCTTCCCAGAACCACTGGATCGCCTTCACTTCATCTTCTTCCTTCATCGCCTTGATCGGCCCTTGAGTCGCCTCCAGCCAAATCTCCCTATCCACGAACGAATTGTCGAAAGACGGCACCGCTCCTCGCCAAAAGACGATAGCGGACAAATAAAACTCTAACGGTGAAACCCTAGAGACAGAACGCGAATCCAGGATGATGTAGCCCTCCTCCTCCTCTTTGACCGACGAAATATCGATCACCGCGGTCTTCATCTCCATGGCAAAATGAAATCTTATTTGATACGGTACTTTCAAGTTTGTTACACATTATTTTAGTCCGGAAAGTTTTTTTTAGTTACTCCGGAGTATTAAATAGTTAGTTTTATGTTTTCTTCCGTGCATTATTTTCTTATAAAATAACAACGCTTAACGGAAACCTCACCTTCCAGTGCAGCTGTGGGGGTGAGGTTTATTGTTGTAGCAGTAAAGAAGTTTATTGTTTACTGTTATTTTAATTAAATGATATAGATTTGTAAAATTCAGATTAGATCAAATCGATTTAGATAAAAGTAATTGGTAAGATCATTATTGTTGTTGTTACTATTTATTATTATCAGCATATAACCTGGTGTGTTACATGGGTGAAAAATTTTATGGAAAAATAGCCCTAAATAGGATTAAACTAATTCTTAAATGCACAAATAAGATTATGCTATTTATTTTCTCAGGATAATACTAAAGTATACTCTATCTTTCTATTCTACTCTTCCTTCACAAAAATCTTTCTATTCTACTCTTATTATAACTTGATAGGTAATCATATTTTAATTTATAAAAAATCGTTAACAAATATTTAAAAAAAACTGAAAAATATTTTCAATAAATAATAAAATAGAAAAAAAATAAAAGAATTAAAATTAAAAAAAAACTGTAAAAGAAAAAACAAATAACAAATATAAAAATATGGAGGCTTTCCCGCAGCCTCAGCCACCTCCCAGCAAGGATACCTCCAGTCGGCGAAAAATGTCATTTTGTGTAAAAGCTATCTGATAGAGTATATAGACTCGGACCCTGGGCATCACGACTATTGGGCCCAGACAGCGGCCCGGACAGTGGCCCACATATGCTCAGTAGATAGCATTTATTTCCTTGTACACTATATTTATTCAGATGTATTCATTAGAATAGATTAGATACCATTTATTAGCCATTTATTGACCTTTTAATTGTAATTGGGCCTTCCAGGCCCAAGCCTGGAAGCCCAGCCCGCTTTTCTCTTATAAATACTCCTTATGGGAGCCATGTAAAAGGATTGGAAGGTTGGAAGTTGGAAATTCATTATACACATATCACTTTATCTCTCTAGCTCTCTCTTCTCTCTAGAATTAAATAGTCTATCATTATCATTTTTTCTCTAAAAATGTCACGAAGATAATATTTTTGCTCTTTGAATTTTTTTTTTCCGAAATTGCCATCAACATGGCAGTAGCGAAACATGCTGGCATTTATCCGGTGCTCTGGGTTGGTGGTGATGGGAGGTTGTTGAGGCAACAACAGAGCCTACATATTTTTTTTACTTTTTACGTTTTTATTTTTTATTCTAAATTTTTAGGGGTTTTAGGTTTATACTATCATAAGTTTTTTATTTTTCTAATTTTGAATTTTATTAATTTTATTTAATATTTGAAAGAACTTATAAACGATTCAGTCCTAAGTGTTTCATATCAAAAGACTTAGAGAGTTGTTTCTACAGTTGGTTTATCTTCATTGCATCTTTTCCAACAGTCAACATGTCATCTACACATAGTAGAAGAGCAATAAAGGTACCATTAGAAGTTTCTTGATGTATACACACTCATCCGTAGTAGTTCTCATGTAGCCTTGACAATTCATCCACGAGTCAAACTTTTTTTTTGAAAGAATGCATGAGTCAAACTTCAATCTTATTTATTTTGATTATTATATAATTCAACATACGAAATCAAAAAGTTACGTAATTAATGAAAAAGTTGATAGATAAAAGTGATAAGTTGAAAAACAAGATCTAGACAGACTTCCGGAATGTGAATTAGGCTAAATTAGTCGACAATTTTTGCCTAATAATGCAGTTGTTGGTCAAAATCCTGAAATGTGAATATGCTAAAAAGGTATACCATAGTCTACACCAATAAAATCCACTGTCGGTTTTCCATAAGTAATTATTCTCGGAATTTGGGATGGAAGATCGTCAAGATGGAACTTTGGAATTGAGAATTGAAGAATCAATCGGAGCGAAATAACCGAATAATATACTCAATAGAGTTTTTATTTTGCAAAAAACAATAATTTAGCCGAGATGCAAACTATCGGCTGTCACCCGCACAGCCACCCTTCAATCGCCGATCTCCGCCGAAACAGTCGCCGCTCTCCGGCCGTGGAGACATCTCCCGTGATCCGCGCCTACAAAGATGCCAGATTCGAAGCTCGCAAAAAGAAGGGCTCAACTAGAACGTCGAGGTTGGCCGAGTCCCTGTCAAACTTCATCAATCTTCAGATCGAGACGGCCACCATTGCCCGACGGAACAATCTTGTGAACGTCGAAGACAAGGCCGACACTCCCATATCGTCTCCCAAGCAAAATATATCCCGCGAGTGGCGCGAACTCCATGGTTGCCGGGAATGGGAAGGTCTTCTCGACCCGCTCCACCCGTTTCTCCGGCGTGAGATCGTCAAGTACGGTGAATTCGCACAGGCAACGTACGACGCGCTTGATTTCGACTACTGCTCGGAGTACGCCGGGAGTTGCAGGTACAATCCCCACAAGCTGTTCGACGAATTGTCGCTTACAAGGAGCGGTTACAGAGTCGTCAAGTACATGTATGCCATGTCGCAGATCGACCTACCGGAGTGGCTAGAGGCGTCTCAATTGGTCAACCGGTGGAGCAAGGACTCGAATTGGATCGGGTTTGTGGCCGTGAGCGATGACGAAGAAACGCTGCGGATTGGCCGGAGAGACATCGTTGTGGCGTGGCGGGGAACAGTGACGCCAACGGAGTGGTATGAGAACACGCAGAACAAGCTGGTGGCGATCGGGCAAGGAGAAGGAAAAGTCGAACAAGGCTTCCTCAACATCTACACTTCGAAGTGCGATTCCTCGCCATACAACAAATCCAGCGCGTCGGAGCAAGTCATGCGGCAGCTCCGAGACTTGGTGGAAGCATACGGAGGTGAAGACATGAGCCTGACAATCACCGGGCACAGCCTGGGTGGCGCGCTAGCCGTTCTGAATGGCTACGAGTCGGCAGCCAACTTCCCCGGCCTCCCAATCGCCGTGATATCCTTTGCATCACCAAGAGTAGGGAACATCGCGTTCCGCGACGAGCTGTACCAGATGGGGGTCAAAACGCTGCGCGTGACGGTGAAGCAGGACTTGGTGCCAAGAATGCCTGGGATCGTGTTCAACGAAAGCCTGCAGAAGTTTGATGAACTGACAGGAACACTGGAGTGGGTTTACACGCACGTGGGAGCTGAACTGAAGCTGGATGTGAGAGCATCACCGTATCTGAAAAGAGGGTTTAATTTCGTAGGGATCCATATGCTGGAGACGCATCTTCATCTGGTGGATGGGTGGGTGAGCAGGAGTTCAACGTTTAGGGGCGACGCCAAAAGGGATGTGGCGTTGGTGAATAAAGATTGTGATATGCTGGTGGATGAGCTCAGAATACCACCCAACTGGTACCAATTGGCCAATAAAGGTCTGGTGCGTAATGCTTCTGGTAGGTGGGTTAGGCCCAAAAGGAAACCTGAAGATGTGCCTTCACCAACCACCTTCTAACCTCAAAATATCCAATTAACAAACTTCTTGTAGGAATCTTTTTTCCCATATAATCCTATTTTTTTTAATATACCTAGTAGCATTTTATCCAGGAGAGATATGAATCTTCATTGTATAGTATGTCCTGAAGCTATTCTATTCTGCATTGGCCGGGTATGTACAGTTAAATATTGAATCATTCTGATTCCATGTAATCATTTTGATTCTCTAATATAATCACAAAACTGGTTTGATTTTAACCTTACGGGTATGCTTTGGCCTGATTTTTTCTTTGCATCGTCTATATGAATGTTTTTATCATAAATGGCTTATTGGTTTACATTTTCTTTAATTATGATATTTACATCTTGTCTAAATTAAGATGTATTGATGTATTATGATCTATGGTGGATCAAGTGATTTTTTATATCTTTGTTTGAAGTGAATAAAATAACTAAACAATTGAAAGAATAGATTTCTGACATTTTAACTGGCAGTGTTATCGAGTTACTGCTTTAATTAATACGAGTACTCCTTGACGTTTATAAAAACAAAGAATAGATGCTCTTCACTACCAAAATCATAACATAAAAACAATAATTATTACTGTACACTTAACAAAATAATAGACACTATTACCGAATCAGTGAATGAAAATGAAGAGAAAAAAAGAAAGAGAATTTGCATGGAACAAAAAATAGGAAGAAAAAAAAAGAGGAGCTACTAGAGTACCACCGCCAACGGTTATGTCGTAGTTGCAAATGCAAAGGTTAGATGCTCCTAGGACTGCTGGAATATCCCTTAGAGAAATCTTGTTTAAACTCAACAGTCTTTTGAGCGGTGGAGAAGGTTGAGGGGGGCATATGCACCGGATCTTTTGGAGTAGACAACGTGATTGGTTGCCCCTGTGAAGTGGTTGCAGCCTCTGCAAAGTTTCTGGCAAAAAATGCTATGTCGGTGGCAGATTTTCGTGGATTGGGCAACATACTTGCAAGAACTGCGTTCAGTGTGTTTGCAGCCATGGCGGTGTCATATCTTTTCATTGTCTATTCATAAGCATTGTCTGAGCCTCCATTATCTTTCATTTCTTATTGGTTTATTCAAGTTTTACATTTCTATTGATTTTATGTTACTAAGATTGGGGCTTTCAGGGAGCAACTGTAAGAGTTTATGAGTCTTAAAGGGTGGTTGCTCCTCTTTCTATGTAACTTTATGTACTGTGCAGTTCAGCCTATTATTTGTTCAGTGCCAAAAAAATGTTGGGAAAACTGTCAAATAGGTCCACGTACTATTACCAAAAAGTCAATTAAGTCCATGTACTTTTTTCGAGTCAATTAAGTTCGCAAACTATCAAAAAACGATCAAATCGACAATTTAATAGGTACTCAGCCGGTCATCCGGTTAACTGCCTATGTGGACGTCCAGCTGAGATATTTTTTAGTCTTTTCTATATTTTTTATTTTTTATTTTCTTTTCCTTTTTCTTTTTACATTTCTTTTGCATCTGCAACTCCATCGATCTCCCTGCTCTGCAACTACGGATCTATGGAGGAGGAGGTTGTGGTGGCTATGGAGGCTGGTGCGATTGGACGTTGTTCCAATAGAAGAGGCGGAGGTGGAAGCTGGAGGCCGTAGGTATGGTGGTTAGGGCAGCGGAGGTGGTGGCTATGGAAGCCGGTGCGGCTAGAGGTCGTTTCAATGGAGGAGGCGAAAGGGAGGTAACAGAGGTGTGGCTGGAGGCGGTTTGTGTATGGCGGAACGGGCTGTTGATGTGAGGTGGAGGTCGGACTCCAGATGCAGTGGCTATGGATGTTGGGCGGCGGAGGTGCTGGCTAGAGAGGCTGGGAGGCGGAATTCGTTCCAGTTGGAGTGTGGCGGAGGCGACAAAAATGGAAGAAAGTGGTCGGAGTTCTGGTCGAGACAAGAAGGGAAAGAAAGAAACGAACCAGGCGGAGAAGTGAATTGGGAAGGAGAAGAGCGTACCAGAGGAAGAAAGAAGAAGAAAGAGAAAAAAGATAGAAAAGGAAGAGAGAAGAAAAAAAGGAAAAGGAAAAGGAAAAGGAAAGAAAATTAAAAAACAATGAAAAAAAATTAAAAAAATGCCACCTCAGATATCCACGTAGGCAGTTAACTTGGAAACCGGCTGACTACCTATTAAATAGGCGATTTGATCATTTTATGATTGTTTGCGGACTTAATTGACTCGAAAAATAGTACATGGACTCAATTGACTTTTTGGTAATAGTACGTGGACTTATTTGACAGTTTTCCCAAAAAAGTTTAGCAGCCCTAAATGATGACCGATAGATGACCAGAGTAAGGTCACTTAAGTGTTTAATTTCACTTTAAAGGATGTATTTGTTGGTGGTGCTGTTGCTGCAGTCGTCTGTCTTAGCAGGTGTGCAAACATAATATGCTAATGTGATAGAGAGCACGGAGAGAAGGGGGTTGTGTGGAAGAGGAAGGCCCAAGACCCATGCCTCTGTCGGTTTACGGTTTACCGGAGGCAGAGACGGACTTGAGCCCACCTTCGTGGGTTGGCTGTAGGCCATTTAATTAATTTTATTCTTTTATAATTTTGTTGATTTGTTTCCTTTTGGGAGTTGATTATGATTTCTAAAATTCGTTTCCTATTTGGAGTTAATTAGAGTTTATATTATTTGTTATCTTTTTGTAATTTATTAGGATCTCTATTATTCTATTTTCTATTTGGAATTGATTTAGGATTTCTATGATTTTGTTCCTAGTTTCGGAATTAGTAGATGTGTATTTAAAATCCTTGTTATGATTCATTCTTGGTTATTAGTTAATAAAATTGGATTTCAGCCTGGTGTCTCTAGACAACGGTTTCTACCGTTGATTTTTAATTCTTGTTCTCATCATAATGTGAGGTTGTGATGAACATTATATTATAAAATAAATATCACATCAATGAGGCTTTCCATCATTTTCAATGAAGTTAGAGATTCACTATTGTTGGCCTAAGAATATGACGGGATAAAACAAAATTGATCACTAAATGTCTGCGCTTCTTTGTTATGAAGAATCAGTCGGTTCGTGCGATTTTCGACGCAAATTCATCATGGGTCATCCGAAACCAGTCTCTATATTCTTTAGGATAGGGGTAAGGTTGCGTATATCCGACAGTCTCTTACCCCACCGTAGGTGGGAGCTGTTGCGGCAATGAGGTGATGTTGTTGTTGTGATCAAATCAATGAGGCGACTTGTAACTTGTTGTTTTTGCAGCCATGATAGGGTGATCCTTTTTTCGTAATTTTGATAGTGAAATTGCTACACGAGCCTCATCTACTTAAGAGGATGGCTCGCTTTATGTGTCCATATAATATTCTGGTTTACTTTAATTCTTTCTACAATTACTACACTCAAAACATCCCATGAATCATGAATCAGTGTCCTTAAATATCCAAGTATTTAACATTGTATATATGATTCATGCCTACATCTTCAAATTTTGTTGTTTCATCATCCGCATTGAAATATTTTGAAACAAAGACGAAAGCTTTTATGGATCATTCACAATAGTTAATTAGTTTCAAAGGGTGGCCACTCTCCTTGTCTATGTTGCTCAATTTGTCTAAGATTTATTCAATTTGGTCAAAGCAAGTTAAGCTTATCCAACATTCATTCCTATATTAGTATCCTTGAGTTATTACTTTGCATTTATACAATATACTAGTTATTAGTTATGTTTTGTGCGGAGAAAAAGTGCTCAATGCGCCAATAATGTATTTCTTCAATCATATTATGATATGCTATTGATATCTTTTAAGTTTAGCACATAATAATTGTTCTATAAAAAGAATGTTCATATATCTTTATAAATTCTCGTGTTAATATCTACAGTGAAATGCAGCCTTTCACCTAATTTTGATTACCTTATGTTTGAATAAAGACTGTATTTTAACTTATTACAATGTTTGGATGAGACGAGATGACCAAGTTTGGAAGGGTGAAAGACTAGATGAGACATGGACGAGTAATCCGGTGTGGTATGGCTACTCTTCAAGCTTGGGGTGCTGCACATGAAGTCAAAAGCTGCCCCGCGGAGGTTTCTACAGGGGGAAGATCACTGGAGAATGTCAGAAGTTGGGATTGTTAAAATTAATGTTGATACTGGTGTAGATATACGAAGAGGACGCATAACTTCAGATTGTTGGTCCATGATTCAAATGGCAGATTTCTGGAAGGGAAGGAGGCGGTCATAGCAGCAGATTGGTTGCCTACAGACATAGAGGCATTGGGTATTCATGCAACGGTGAATTGGGCTTTAGGAAAAGGCTGGACCAAAGTTGAAGTGGAAACGGATGCCCTTCAAGTGTTCACTAGTTTACACAAACCTTCTAGATTTTCGTATTTTGAATTAGTTGTTAATATTAGGGATCTGCTAGCAAATGAAGTTGATTATGTTATTGTGCATTGCAAGCGATATGCAAATCGCACTGTTCATTTAATTGCTAGGGCGGCAATTCCAAAGTCAGGTGGAGAGTTAGAGTTTGAGTCTCCTCGTAGTTATATTGTAAGTGAGTTGATGAATGATATTCTTGAATAATTAATGAGATGTGTTTCCTTTCAACAAAAATGACTTATTACAACGTTCAAATATTTAGTCGAGTACGATATACCGTATTCATTTTCATAATATGATAATATAAATGATTTTTTCAAAATGAACTTATATGTACACACATGTACATATGCATATTCTATAAATAATCCAGACTTTGTAAGGACTATTGCATCATCTTCTTCAACTTTTGTAAAGATACATATCAACAAAAAACAACAAATCCAATAAGATACTATCGTAATGTTTTGCAAAACATCAACAAAAGCTACAAATTAAAAGAACTAAGAGTGATTAGTATTATTATTAATTCCTTATTATTATTATTTTCCTTTTTTTCCCTTTTCCCCTTTTGGCGCTATCATGTATCGATTCATGTTAGCCGACCCCAATATCGTCTGAGGCTAAGGCTTGGATGTTGTTGTTGTATTATTATTGAAATAGTTATTATTATTAGGGGAAAATAATTTAAATACCCCAAACTATAACTAGTGTGAAACAAGTACCCCAAACTTGCATATGCAATATATATACCCCGAACTTTATATAAGAAGTTATTTTCACACCGTTGTTGTGTGTTTTTTTACAAATACAAATTTATTGGAACAATTACACAGTTTAAAATAATCCAAGCTTTATTAGAATGCAATTAACATTCTAAAATTTCATTTTTGAAA